CTGTTCCTCTTCCTTTTTCTAACCATTCTCCTCATAACCCTGTTTCCCCTCTCTCCATAAATGTCTCCTATAAACCCTGGGTTTCCTCTATAACCCTGTCTCCTCTTACCTGTTCCTTAAACCTGTCTCCTTATTAACCCTGTTCCCCTTTTAACACTGTCTCCTCTTAAAACCTGTCTCCTCTATAACCCTGTTCTCCTTAACTGTCCCTCTTAAAACCCTGTCTCCTCTTAACCCTGTCTCCTCTATAAAACCGTCTCCTCATTTAAACCCCGTTCTCTTAACCCTGTCTCCTCTTAACCCCGTTCCCCCCTTAACCCTGTCTCCCCTCTAACTATTTCCCAAACCTGTATCCTCTTAACCCCGTCTCCTCTCTAAACCTGTTCCCTATTAAAACCCTGTTCTCCTCTGAACCTGTTCCTCCCTTCTAACCCTGTTCTCCTCTATAACCCGTCCTCCCTCTCAAACCCCCTCTCCTTAAAACCCGTCTCCCCTATTTAAACCCCGTATCTCCTCAAAACCCTGTCTTCTCCTCTCCCTCTTAAACCCTGTCTCCCCTCTATAACCCCGTCTCCCCTCCTCTCTAACCCTGTCTCCTCTATAAAATCCCTTTAAATCCCCCCTCTATAACCCGTCTCTCTATAAAGCCCGTATCCCTTAAACCCCGTCTCCTTCCCCAAACCCTTCTCCTCTATAACCCTGTTCCTCTTTAAACCCCGTCTCCCCTTCCTTCTCCCCTTCCCTCTATAAAACCTGTCCCTCTCCTCTCTATACCCCGTCTCCTCTATAACCCTGTTCTCCTCTTAACCTGTCTTAAAATTAAACCCTGTCTCTCCCATACCCTTCTTCCTCTTCTCTCCTGTTCCTTTCCCTTCTCCTCTAAACCTGTTCCTCTATACCCTGTCCTCCTTATAACCCTGTCCCCTTATAACCCTGTCTCCTCTCCTCTCTAACCTTTTTCTCCTCCTCTATAAACCCTGTCTCCTCTAGAACAACTCCCTATTACCCTCCCCCCTTTTAACCTGTCTCCCTCTCCTAACCCGTCTCCTCTCCCTAACCTGTTCCTCCCTCTCCCCCCTCTCCTCTGATAACCCGCTCTCCTCTCCCCTCCTATATCCCTTCCCCTCCCTTAACCCTTCTCCTCTATCCCCTGTCTCCTCCTCCACCCTTCTCCCTCTCCTCCCCACACCCCCCTCTCCATCTCTAACCCCATGTCTCTCTATATCCCTGTCTTCCTTCCCTCCTTATAACCTTTTCTCCTCCTCCCTCTCTAACCCTGTCTCCTTCCTCATCCCCTTCTTCCCAACCTCTCCTCTTCCCTGTCTTCCTCTCCCTAGTAACCCGTCTTTTTAAACCTGTCTCTAAACTGTAACTCTCCAGCTCTCTAACCCTGTTCTCTCATAACCCGCTTCTCTCTCGTCTCTTAACCGTTCCGTATAATTATTAAACTCTTCCCCTCTATAACCTCCCTCCGAACTCGCCTTAGAACCCTGTCTCAAACCTGGCCCTCTATTCCTGCTAGCTCTATAACCCGCTCCTCCCCTCCCTAACCGTCTCCTCTAACCCCTCTCCTCTAAACCGTCCCTATCCTGTCTCTCGTAACCCGTCCTTCCTCACAACCCTTCTCCAAACATATAACCCCCCCCTCTCTAACCCTGGCTTCCTCCGCCAAACCCCGCTCTTGAACCGGGCTTATAACCCGTTCGGAACCCTGCACTCCTCATAACCTTCCCTCTAACCCGCCTTAGCCCTGCTTCTTATAACCGTCCCGCCCAAAAACCTGCCCTCTAACCCTGCTTCTCCCGCCCTCCCCCCTACTCCCCTTTTTTCATTCCCCCCCCCTTCCCGCTCCCCCTCCCCCCCCCGCCCCCTCTAAACCGTCTCTCCCCGTTCAATCCTGCCCCACCGTTCCTCCCCTCCCCTCCTATTCCCCCCCTCGCTCCTAACCTCCCGTTGGGGGGTGGGGACCATGCACTCGATACCCTTTTGTCACTGGCCCACGAAAGGAAGGTTAAATTAATTTATAAGGCAAAAATTTCAAACAAAAGTGGTTTTTTGTCCACTCCTCATCCCCCCCCAAAATTCCCTTTTTTTAATGGCCCCCCACCCCCCAAAACCGGGCGGCAAGATTCCGGGCAAAAGGCAAAGCGGGACTTTCCCCCCCCCCTTTCCCCTTTTAAAAAAACCCTTCCCCTAAGTCCCTCTAAACCTGCTCCTCTCCTCTCCCTACTAACCCTGCTCCTCTCTAACCGTCTCCTCTCCTCTCCTACCTCTACTCTTCCTCTCTCTTCTCTTCTCGTCTCTCTCTCATCTCCCCTCTATTCCTGTCTCTTCTCCTCTCCTTCTCCTCTCTCTCTAACCCCGCTCCCTCCTCAGCACCCCGTCCCTCTGACCTCTCCTCTCCTGCTTCCTCTCCGTCTCCTCTCCTCGATCCTCTCCTCTCCTCTCCGTCTCCTCTCCTCTCCTCTCCCCGTCTCTAAACTGTCACGGCTGATGTGGATGCGGTGTGGGAGTCAGGCGCAGGACACAGAAGCTTAGTCACAACGCCTTTAATAGTCAAAAAGGCAATAACCAAAATAACGTGCCTCTAACAGGAGTGCGAGCGATTACGCAAACAGTGCGTAAAATACTAAATACTCGAGAACCACAATAACAATACACCAAACGGGACAGGCGTTTACAACAACACACAACATGCAAACAAAACCAAAGGAAACGTATTAGGTGACATAATTCAATAATAATACGAGACAGGTGCACCAACAAGACAAAACCAAACAAAACATAGAGAACATTCAAACGGTTAGCAGCTAGTACCTCCGGGGACGACGAACGCCGAAAGCCTGCCCGAACAAGGAGGAGGAGCAGCCTCGGCGGAATTCATGACAGTACCCCCCCCCCCCCCTTGACGCGCGGCTCCAGCCGTGCGCCGACCCCGGCCCTCGGGGACGGCCAGGAGGACGTGGAGCCAGGGCGAGTAGGATGACTCCGGTGGAACTCAGTCAGGAACGGATGGATCTAAATGTCCCTCCTAGGCACCCAGCACCGTTCCTCCGGACCGTACCCCTCCCACTCCACGAAATATTGTAGACCCCCCATCCGACGTCTCGAATCCACAATGGACCCTCAATGTCCAGTGGGGGCGGAGGGGTCTCTCTTATCTCACACTCCTGAAGTGGACCAGCTACCACCGGCCTGAGGAGAGACACATGGAACGAAGGGTTAATGTGATAGTCATTAGGCAATTGCAACTTGTAACACACCTCGTTTCAAATCTCCTCAGGACTTTAAATGGCCCCACAAACCGCCGGCCAAGCTTCCGGCAGGGCAGGCGAAGGGGCAGGTTTCGAGTCGAGAGCCAGACCCAATCGCCCCCTCTATCTCTATCTCCTCTCCCTCTCTAACCCTGTCTCCTCTCCCACCCTATCCCTGCCTCCTCTCCTTATCTATCCCTATCTCCTCTCCTCTCTAACACCTGTCTCCTAATTACTGTCTAACCTGTCTCACACCTCCTCTCTACCCCTGTCTCCTCCTCTACCTCTCCTCTCCTCTCCTCTCCTCTCCCTCCTCTCCATCTCCTCTCATCTCCTCTCCTCTCCTCCTCCTCTCCCTACTCTCCCTCTCTATCTCGTCTCCTCCCTCTCCTCCTCTCCTCCTCATTCCTCATCCGTCTCATCTCCCAAAAAACCGCTGTCTCCTCTCCCGCTATCCCTGGCCTCTCGCTCTACTCCTCCTCTCTTCTCTTATCGCTATGCCTCTAGCTTGTCTCATATCTTCTCGCTTTCTGAACCCTCATCTCCTGCCCTCCTAACCGATCTCCTCTCCTCTCCTCTCTCCTACGCCTCTCCAATAACTAAGTCCTCGGGTCTCCCTCTCTTCACCCGCTCCTCCCTCTTTTCCTCTCCTGCTCTCCCTCTCACTCTACCTCTCTCTCTATCCTTTCTCCTCTCCTCTCCTCCTCTCCTCTCCTCTCCTCTCTGTCCTCTCCCTCTATCCTCCTCGCTCCCCTCTCCCTCTCCTCTCTTTAAACCCTGTTCCTCTCCCTCCTCTATCTTTTTAACTGCCTCCTCCACAAACAACAATACCTCCTATCCTCCTCCTCTCCTCTCTAATCCTGTGTTCTCTCTCCCCCCTCATTTAAAGGACAACACAACTCACTTCCCTCTCTAACACCTGTTTCTTTCTTGAAGGGGGGAAAAAAAGGGAAAGGATGTTTAATTAAAAAACCCCCAAACACACCCCCCCTTACCCTCCCCAGCAAAGGAAAACCCCCCAGTTCCCGGACACGGGGGGGCCTTTCAGGGGGCCCAAAAATCCCCCCTTATCTCAACTCCTTTTTAACCCCGTCCCCTAAACCCCCCCCCCCTTTTATTTCCCTCCCCTTTCCCCCCTTTTAAAAAACCCCCCCTAATTCTGACCTTTAAAACCCCCCCACCCCGCCCTTCCCCCCCCCCCTTTTTTCCCCCCCCCCCCTTCCCCCCTCTCCTCTCCTCCCCCCTCCCCCTTCCCTCCCCCTTTTTTTCCCTCCCTCCTTCCTCCCCCCCTCCCCCTTTTCCCCCCAAAAATTCCCCTTTTTTAGGGGGTTTTTCCCCCCCCTTTTTTTTAAAAAAACCCCCCAACCCCCAAAAAAAACCCCCCCCCCCCAAAAAAAACCCCCCCCCCCCCCCCCCCAAAAACCCCCCTCCCCCCCCCCCCCCCGGGGGGGGGGTTTTTACCCCCCCCCAAAAAAAAAAAAAAAAACCCCCCCCCCCCCCCCTTTTTTTTTTTTTTTCCCCTTTTTCCCCCTCCTCTTTTTTTTCCCCTTTTATTCCCCTCCCTCCTCTCGCCCTCCCCCGTTTCCCCCCCCCCCCTTTTTCCCCCAACCCTACCTCCTATCTCCTCCTCTCCTCTCTAATCCTGTGTTCTCTCCTCCTCTATTTAAAGGAAAACAACAATACCTCTTATCTCCTCCTCTTCCCTCTCTAACCCTGTGTTCTTTCCTCTATTTAAAGGACAACAACATGACCTCAGCTCCTGTATATGAGAGTGTTTTACTGCCCCGCTTCCACACCAAGACCTCCTCCTCTTCATCCCCCTCCTCCTCCTGCTCCTCCTCCTCAGGGCCTCCTCATCCCGACGTCTCTATCTCCTCCTCCCTGCCCAGGAGCACCTCCTTCTTCTCTAGTCTGAAGAGAAGGAGCAGGAAGAGAGACCCTAGCCGCCACACCATTCAGAGAATAATGTTTGTAGAGGGGGAGGAGCAGACAGAGGTGGCATGTCCTGCTGAAGCTGCACCCCAGCCAATCATGCTGTACGAAACCCAGACCTGGCCAACGAAGGAGGGCCGAAGGAAGAAGAAGAGCCAATTAAAGGCTGAGGGGGTGGGGCCAGGGCAGGGGGTGAAGCTCATGGACTACATGGATAATCCATTGGCCAGGGATATTGATGATGAATGTTCTGGGGTCTACACTGTCAGCCCCTATGCAGTGACAGAGGCAGTCTCTCTAGCTCCACCTACTAGCCAGGTGAGGAGCCACTGCAGGTTCCTGTCACTGGGGTCTGTTTTGACCTTCGACCTCCCCAAAGACATGAGGCTGGTCCCCAGTATACAGGACATCATCACTATAGGACCCCCAGAACACAGGGGGACCCCCAACCCAGAGACACACACAGCCCTCAGCTCTTTCAAACAGACCCGCTCGCCCCCCTCTCACCCTTTAGCTGGACCCCCTTCCTCAAAAACACAGACTTGCTCTCCTACCTCCCCTCCCTCAGGCACACACAGAACACCAGACAATGAGGCCGTCACTACTGACAGACATGAAACAATGACACAGACACTGACACAACCACAGATACAGACACAACCACTACTGACACAACCACAGATACAGACACAACCACTACTGACACAACCACAGATACAGACACAACCACTACTGACACAACCACAGATACAGACACAACCACTACTGACACAACCACAGATACAGACACAACCACTTACACAGACACCGACACAGATACTGAAACAGACAAAGCCACTGACACAGGCTATTCAGCTGGAGCCTCTGTTTAATCTAGATAAAGATTTTCCTCTTCCTCCTCCTCTTGCCCTGGATGAGGACTGGGATCAGAACGGACCAAGCGATGACCTATCCCTATCACAGATCCAGACCATACCAAGCGATGACCTATCCCTATCACAGATCCAGACGGAACCAAGCGAAGACCTATCCCTATCACAGATTCAGACCGTACCAAGCGATGACCTATCCCTATCACAGATCCAGTTCAGTGTCTCTGGGATCGTCAGTCTACACCAGGAGTCTGAGCAGGAGTGGGCGGAGCTTGTCTCCAGCAAGCAACCACCAATCACAGCTTATGTTCCAAAGAGTCCCGTTCCAAAGAAACAAGACCATTACAATTACATGGAAAGGGCCATGGTTAGTAGAAGTCCCGTTGTAAAGAACAAGTACCCCTGTCCCTCCTCAGCTTATCAGAACCAGGAGAGCAAAGACCCCTGTCCCTCCTCAGCCTATCAGAACCATGAGAGCAAATACCCCTGTCCCTCCTCAGCCTATCAGAACCAGGAGAGCAAAGACCCCTGTCCCTCCTCAGCCTATCAGAACCAGGAGAGCAAAGACCCCTGTCCCTCCTCAGCCTATCAGAACCAGGAGACCAAAGACCCCTGTCCCTCCTCAGCCTATCAGAACCAGGAGAGCAAACACCCCTGTCCCTCCTCAGCCTATCAGAACCAGGAGAGCAAAGACCCCTGTCCCTCCTCAGCCTATCAGAACCAGGAGAGCAAAGACCCCTGTCCCTCCTCAGCCTATCAGAACCATGAGTGTCTCATTCAGGACCTCAATGGACACCAGTACCATCAGAGGTTAAAGACCCATAGAGAGAGTCTTGACCTCCAGAAGACCAGCCAGGCTTCTCAGATGGTGGTGAATCTGAAGACCAGTGGGTCAGGGAGTATGAGGGAAGACGCTATAGACTCTGGCATCTCTGGTGTCTCCAACTCTGGGAGATTGAAGCTCAATGCTACTGATGTTTCCCAAGAGCCCCAGCCCAAGAGGACCGTGATGGGGAGGCTAGTGTCTCTGGAGGTTGTGTCCAAACCCAGGGCAGACCCCGCAGCAGCTCCAGCTCCTGCCCACCCAGAGAAAGAAACACGACCCAGAAACAAACACCCCGACCACCAGACAGAGACAGACCTCGACTCTGACCCGGTCCACCCTGACCCGGTCCACCCTGACCCGGTCCACCCTGACCCGGTCCACCCTGACCCGGTCCACTCTGACCCGGTCCACCCTGACCCGGTCCACCCTGACCCGGTCCACCCTGACCCGGTCCACCCTGACCCGGTCCACCCTGACCCCAACCTCATCATCCATCCAGACCACCAGCAGTTTGAGGAGTCAGAGGAGGAGCTGGAGGACATCTGGAACCATAGCGATGGCTACAGACAGAGTATCTCCTCTGACATCATGTACCAGCCACACCAGGAGGAGGAGCAAGGGGGAAGTAGCAACACCCCAGGACTGACCACAGACACCCAGAACCAGGCCCAGCCCCAGGCTCCCCCCTACAGAAAGCTGATAACAGCCTCTGCCCCTAACCTTCTGGTGGCTGAATTCACACTCCCCTCCTCCTTCCAAACACTACTGGGGTACAACCAGGGCCAGAACCAGGACCAGGGCTTCAGCCGAGATCCTGACCCCAGAGAAGAGATCCCTACCCTGGCTAACAGAGACCGGAGGTCCTGGGCAGCCTTCCCTAACCAGGACCAACCCTGGAGGACCACAGCACTGGTCAATGAGACGGCAGCAGACCCAGTCAAGCTACCGGAGATAGAGGACCAAAAGAGATATATCTACCAGTATAGAGAGGAGGAGGAAGAGGAGGATGAGGAGGAGAAGATGGAGGACACATACTGTCCAAAGGTGAGGTCTACTTTTGACAGGCTCACCGACTTTGACCTCTGACCTCTGAGTTGAGTGAGCTTCTGCACTGTTGTCTCTACTCTACTGCATCTCAGTTGTATCTCTTATCACTGTTTCACTCTTTTTATTTGCAACTGTTATCCATTTTCTCTTATTGTCAGTAACAGACAAATGCCTCCATTCAGCAAATACCTGTAAATAAGTTCACTAAACTCAGTGTAAATAAGTTCACTAAACTCAGTGTAAATAAGTTCACTAAACTCAGTGATGTCAATCTTGACCCTGAGTTGACCTCTCCCCTCTCTCCAGGACACATCAATGAGCCTGCGATCTGTCGACATGGGTCTGGACCGAGCCAATCAGCGAGCTAGAAGTTGTGGCACTCTGGAGGGCGTCATGGAGAAGCAGGTAGAGAGTCTGGCCACGGGGGGGGGGGGGGGGTGCTGTGGCACTATGGTGAGAGACCTGGAGCAGCAGGGACAGAGTCTGGCCACAGGGGAGCGCTGTGGCACTATGGTGAGAGACAGAGGTGCAGGTACAGCGTCTGGCCACAAGGGGGCGATGTGGCACTATGGAGGGTGACCTGGAGGTGCAGGTACAGCGTCTGGCCACAAGGGGGCGATGTGGCACTATGGAGGGTGACCTGGAAGAAAAGACAACAGTCACACAGCTAGTTAGTCAGCTAGTTAGTCAGCTAGTTAGTCACCTGTTTGTCAGCTAGTTAGTCATCTTGTTAGTCATCTTGTTAGTCAGGTAGTTAGTCAGCTAGTTAGTCACATGTTTGTCAGCTAGTTAGTCATCTGGTTAGTCAGGTAGTTAGTAATCTGGTTAGTCATCTGGTTAGTCAGCTAGTTAGTCATCTGGTTAGTCATCTGGTTAGTCAGCTAGTTAGTCATCTGGTTAGTCATCTGGTTAGTCAGCTAGTTAGTCAGCTAGTTAGTCATCTGGTTAGTCATCTGGTTAGTCAGCTAGTTAGTCATCTGGTTAGTCTGCTAGTTAGTCAGGTAGTTAGTCATCTGGTTAGTCATCTGGTTAGTCAGCTAGTTAGTCTGCTAGTTAGTCAGCTAGTTAGTCATCTGGTTAGTCTGCTAGTTAGTCATCTGTTTGTCAGCTAGTTAGTAATCTGGTTAGTCAGCTAGTTAGTCATCTGGTTAGTCAGGTAGTTAGTCATCTGATTAGTCTGCTAGTTAGTCAGCTAGTTAGTCATCTGGTTAGTCAGCTAGTTAGTCTGCTAGTTAGTCAGCTAGTTAGTCATCTGGTTAGTCTGCTAGTTAGTCATCTGTTTGTCAGCTAGTTAGTAATCTGGTTAGTCAGCTAGTTAGTCATCTGGTTAGTCAGGTAGTTAGTCATCTGATTAGTCTGCTAGTTAGTCAGCTAGTTAGTCATCTGGTTAGTCAGCTAGTTAGTCATCTGGTTAGTCAGCTAGTTAGTCATCTGTTTGTCAGCTAGTTAGTAATCTGGTTAGTCAGCTAGTTAGTCATCTGGTTAGTCAGGTAGTTAGTCATCTGATTAGTCTGCTAGTTAGTCAGCTAGTTAGTCATCTGGTTAGTAAGCTAGTTAGTCATCTGGTTAGTCAGCTAGTTAGTCATCTGGTTAGTCTGCTAGTTAGTCAGCTAGTTAGTCAGCTAGTTAGTCACCTTTTTTTTAGCTAGTTAGTCATCTGGTTAGTCAGGTAGTTAGTAATCTGGTTAGTCATCTGGTTAGTCAGCTAGTTAGTCATCTGGTTAGTCAGGTAGTTAGTCATCTGATTAGTCTCCTAGTTAGTCAGCTAGTTAGTCTGCTAGTTAGTCAGCTAGTTAGTCATCTGGTTAGTCAGCTAGTTAGTCATCTGGTTAGTCAGGTAGTTAGTAATCTGGTTAGTCAGCTAGTTAGTCATCTGATTAGTCTGCTAGTTAGTCAGCTAGTTAGTCATCTGGTTAGTCATCTGGTTAGTCAGCTAGTTAGTCATCTGGTTAGTCAGCTAGTTAGTCAGCTAGTTAGTCATCTGGTTAGTCTGCTAGTTAGTCAGCTAGTTAGTCATCTGGTTAGGCAGCTAGTTAGTCAGCTAGTTAGTCATCTGGTTAGTCTGCTAGTTAGTCAGCTAGTTAGTCATCTGGTTAGTCATCTGGTTAGTCAGCTAGTTAGTCATCTTGTTAGTCAGCTAGTTAGTCATTTGGTTAGTCAGCTAGTTAGTCAGCTAGTTAGTAATCTGGTTAGTCAGCTAGTTAGTCAGCTAGTTAGTCATCTGGTTAGTCTGCTAGTTAGTCAGCTAGTTAGTCATCTGGTTAGTCAGGTAGTTAGTAATCTAGTTAGTCATCTGGTTAGTCAGCTAGTTAGTCATCTGTTTAGTCAGCTAGTTAGTCATCTGGTTAGTCAGCTAGTTAGTCATCTGGTTAGTCAGCTAGTTAGTAATATGGTTAGTCAGCTAGTTAGTCATCTGGTTAGTCAGCTAGTTAGTCATCTGGTTAGTCAGCTAGTTAGTCAGCTAGTTAGTCAGCTAGTTAGTCATCTGGTTAGTCAGGTAGTTAGTAATCTGGTTAGTCATCTGGTTAGTCAGCTAGTTAGTCATCTGGTTAGTCAGGTAGTTAGTCATCTGGTTAGTCTGCTAGTTAGTCAGCTAGTTAGTCATCTGGTTAGTCAGCTAGTTAGTCTGCTAGTTAGTCAGCTAGTTAGTCATCTGGTTAGTCTGCTAGTTAGTCAGCTAGTTAGTCATCTGGTTAGTCAGCTAGTTAGTAATCTGGTTAGTCAGCTAGTTAGTCAGCTAGTTAGTCATCTGGTTAGTCAGCTAGTTAGTCATCTGGTTAGTCAGCTAGTTAGTTATCTGGTTAGTCAGCTAGTTAGTCATCTGGTTAGTCAGCTAGTTAGTCAGCTAGTTAGTCATCAGGTCAGTCTGCTAGTTAGTCAGCTAGTTAGTCATCTGGTTAGTCTGCTAGTTAGTCAGCTAGTTAGTCATCTGGTTAGTCAGCTAGTTAGTCAGCTAGTTAGTCATCTGGTTAGTCAGCTAGTTAGTCATCTGGTTAGTCAGCTAGTTAGTTTTCTGGTTAGTCAGCTAGTTAGTCATCTGGTTAGTCAGCTAGTTAGTCATCTGGTTAGTCAGCTAGTTAGTCATCTGGTTAGTCAGCTAGTTAGTCAGCTAGTTAGTCATCTGGTTAGTCAGCTAGTTAGTTTTCTGGTTAGTCAGCTAGTTAGTCATCTGGTTAGTCAGCTAGTTAGTCATCTGGTTAGTCAGCTAGTTAGTCATCTGGTTAGTCAGCTAGTTAGTCATCTGGTTAGTCAGCTAGTTAGTCATTTGGTTAGTCAGCTAGTTAGTCATCTGGTTAGTCATCTGGTTAGTCAGCTAGTTAGTCATCTGGTTAGTCAGCTAGTTAGTCATCTGGTTAGTCAGCTAGTTAGTCATCTGGTTAGTCAGCTAGTTAGTCATTTAGTTAGTCATCTGGTTAGTCAGCTAGTTAGTTTTCTGGTTAGTCAGCTAGTTAGTCATCTGGTTAGTCAGCTAGTTAGTCATCTGGTTAGTCAGCTAGTTAGTCATCTGGTTAGTCAGCTAGTTAGTCATCTGGTTAGTCAGCTAGTTAGTCATCTGGTTAGTCAGCTAGTTAGTCATCTGGTTAGTCAGCTAGTTAGTCAGCTAGTTAGTCATCTTAGTGAATTTGTGCCTTTTCTATCAGATACTGTTATAGTGAATAAAGGTGTCATTTTTGTGTCTGGCTGATATTGGGATGTGTTGCTCTCTTTGGTCTTATCATGTATTTATTTCAAACATGTCATCAGAATGGGAGTGGGTCTGAGCTGCAGAGGATGGAGGGAACCCTGGAGCGGAAGCACAAGCTGCAGCTGGGAGGGAAGAAGGTGAGAAGGAAGCAGTACTATAGATTCTATTGCATTTATACAACATTTACACACTATACAACATTTACACTATATACACAACATTCACACTCGATACTACATTTACAATATATACTACATTTACACTCTATACTACAAAATTTACACTCTATAAAACATTTACAATCTATAGTACAACATTTACGCTCTATCTTACAACATTTACACTCTATACTACAACATTCACACTATATGATACATGTACACTCTATAGTACAATGTTTACACTCTATACTACATACACAACAACAATTACACTCTATACTACATTTACACTCTACACTACATCGTTTCATCATCTTAAGCTCTGGCCTGGTCCTTCCAGCCAGATATCAACCAGTGACCAGTGGATCCAATAAGAGCTCAGGATGGTTACATTACCTGGTCTAACACTAGTGTGTCTGTCTGGAGGGTTTTAATACATTACCAGGTCTAACACTAGTGGTTCTGTCTGGAGGGTTTTAATACATTACCAGGTCTAACACTAGTGTGTCTGTCTGGAGGGTTTTAATACATTACCTGGTCTAACACTAGTGTGTCTGTCTGGAGGGTTTTAATACATTACCTGGTCTAACACTAGTGGTTCTGTCTGGAGGGTTTTAATAAATTACCAGGTCTAACACTAGTGTGTCTGTCTGGAGGGTTTTAATACATTACCTGGTCTAACACTAGTGGTTCTGTCTGGAGGGTTTTAATAAATTACCAGGTCTAACACTAGTGTGTCTGTCTGGAGGGTTTTAATACATTACCAGGTCTAACACTAGTGTGTCTGTCTGGAGGGTTTTAATACATTACCAGGTCTAACACTAGTGTGTCTGTCTGGAGGGTTTTAATACATTACCAGGTCTAACACTAGTGTGTCTGTCTGGAGGGTTTTAATACATTACCAGGTCTAACACTAGTGTGTCTGTCTGGAGGGTTTTAATACATTACCAGGTCTAACAGTAGTGTGTCTGTCTGGAGGGTTTTAATAAATTACCAGGTCTAACACTAGTGTGTCTGTCTGGAGGGTTTTAATACATTACCTGGTCTAACACTAGTGTGTCTGTCTGGAGGGTTTTAATACATTACCAGGTCTAACATTAGTGTGTCTGTCTGGAGGGTTTTAATACATTACCAGTTCTAACACTAGTGTGTCTGTCTGGAGGGTTTTAATACATTACCAGGTCTAACACTAGTGTGTCTGTCTGGAGGGTTTTAATACATTACCAGGTCTAACAGTGTGTTCTAGGTCAGATCTCCAGATAGTTAATGTGTCTGTCTGTCTGTTCTAGGCCAGGTCTCGAGCATGGAGCTCCCATCATGCAGTGCTTTACAAACAGACACTCTGCTTCTACCAAGACAGCAAAGACACACTGAGGGTGAGACGGGATGGGACGCTAGTTCAGACATAGGGGGTGCTTATATTTGTCGTCTTTCATACATGTATCAGTGTTTTACCTGTGGGTGATAACATACATGTATCAGTGTGTTACCTGTGGGTGATAACATACATGTATCAGTGTGTTACCTGTGGGTGATAACATACATGTATCAGTGTGTTACCCGTGGGTGATAACATACATGTATCAGTGTGTTACCCGTGGGTGATAACATACATGTACAAGTGTGTGGTATGAAATTGACATTTATTTTTTGCACCCTTGTCAGCTCAGGGATTCAAACTAGCGACCTTTTGGTTACTGACCCAACGCACTAACCGTTAGGTTACCTGCCACCCATGACACAACACACTAATGGTTTACGGCTCAGCTGTTTGTTCACCCACACACTTCCGTAACCACCCGACTATATGTGATAAAGTGAAGATAAGAGGCCTGCGTCTGACCCTAACCCGCTAAAATACACTGAACAAAAATGTGAATGCAACATGTAAAGTGTTGGTCTCATGTTCCATGAGCTGAAATAAAAGGTCCCAGAAATGTTCCGTACTCACAAAGAGCTTATTATCTCAAATGTTGTCCACAAATGTGTTTACATCCCAATATGTAGCCATGACTACCATGGAACTCTATTCCACATCAGGTAACTGATGCAAATAACAGGTAAAAATTACACCTTATGGAACAGCGGGGACTGTGAAGTGGAAACACACAGGAACGTACACATGGAGTAGTGGCAGAGGGAACAGGCAGAGGGAACAGGCCGTACAACATGGAGTATTGGAGAGGGAACAGGCCACGTACACCATGGTAGTAGTGGCAGAGGGAAACAGGCACGACACATGGAGTAGTGTGGCAGAGGGACCACAGGCACATACACATTGGAGTAGTGGCAGAGGGAACAGCACTCACATG